CTACTCACTAACACTACTCACTAACACTACTCACTAACACTACTCACTAACACTACTCACTAACACTACTCACTAACACTACTCACTAACACTACTCACTAACACTACTCACTAACACTACTCACTAACACTAACACTAACACTAACACTAACACTAACACTAACACTGGTAACACTAACACTAACACTAACAAGCACATTATTTCACTTATTCACAGATTTTGGCACAGTTCAGCGGCTTACGCAATTTCAGTGGAAGCAAAATGTGGTAGTGAAATAAATATCCCACCAAAAGGACATCCCATTTACCAATGGCCTGACGATCTCTTAAAACCTTCAGTCATCTTCCTGGAGCTATGTGAAAGGGACCGTGTACTACGCATGAATGAAAGGGGCGAAAAAGAAACGAATGAGGAATTGCAGCTGAGGAAAAGTCAGTTATTACGACAAAGGCAAGTTTTCAACGAAAAATCAAGTTGACCGATCTTAAAATAATTGAAATATATTGTATATTTATGATAAGAATTTCACAAGAATGGCTAGAATAAAAATTAATCAAATACTTTAGATTAGAAAAGAATAGAAACAAAATAGAAATAGATTGGCCATTGGCATACAGTATAATATATTCAGTCGAACGGTCTGTGCCAGTGTAGGTATAATACAAAAGTGACCATAATAAGAAAGTTTCGGATTGATAGGAATACAACTAAGCGAAGACCGTTTGTCAGGAAGTTAAGCCCTGGGCAAACTAGGAAACATTGTTGCGGAAACATTGTTTCTTACCAATGTTTCGCCATGTTTCCCAGAGTGGGCAAACACTAGGAAACATTAGTGAGAAACATAGGGAAACATCATATGTTTCTGAATTCGCTAGGAAACATTTTTGCTTCTCGGGAAGCAAATTTTGTTTCCGCAACAGTGTTTCCACGGGTGGGCAAAAAGGGAAATATTTGAGGAAACATCGAGAATCACAAATGTTTCCACAACAATGTTTCCTAGTTCAGGGCCGTAGCAACCGGGGGGGGCTGGCTGGGGGGGGGGTTATCAATTTTAAGCTTTATTAGTTTTAAGCGGCTACATTATCCATGACAAACTGCAAAGAATGAAGATACTACCCACACTTTCCTGCAACTTATCCAATATATAGTTAATTAAATACACCTTCGCCCATTTAGTACTACGAAATTGTTAATTTCGACATACTAAACCGCTGTTTTCTGACTATCAGAATTGATGATTCCCCTTATTACGTTTTCGTAGCGCTTTGCATTGTGGTTATAGTGGTATCACTGATAAAGATAGCGGCCTCGAATGAAAATATTTAATGTTTTCGCGAATATTTTGCTGTTGGCTATCGCGCACCTGGCCCTAGCTTTTTTAAAAGTTCTTGCACGGGTCAGGACAAAAGATAAGCCATCTTGAATATCAGTGATACCACTATAACTACAACACAAAGCGCTACGAAAACGTAATAAAGGGAATCATTAATTCTGTCAAATCTTCCCCAAAGTCCAGGAAGTGGCATTTCAGAGACTCTAAATTTAAAAATTTCCTCGGGCCTTCGGCCCTCGCTTTCAGCCCCCAATAAAAAAAAGCTTCCTACGGCCCTGTTGTTTGCCCAGGGCTTTAGGGCCTTTTCCCCGAAACGACGAAGTCCTGCGTGTATTTTTTCCCGACAAGTAGTGGTATCTCTATTGAAATATATTGGAATGGAATAGAATATGCAGCTGAGAAACAGGGCAGAGCAGAGCAGGGCAGGGCAGAGCAGAACAGAGTAGAACAGATTAGAACTTCAACAGATTAGAATAGATTCTTCTTGCTACAACCATTATGATAGGAGATATAGTCAACAATTAATTTCTCGTGATATGGATGAACAGTCACATGATTCCAAACAGAGAATAGATTACAATAGAACCGATACCATTATAGTTAAAATAATTACAGTGGCAGTCACAAAAGAGCAAATACAGTTATGATGGACAATTTTAGCAAATGAACCAACATTGACGAGAGACGTGGTGGGGATAAACATAATCGTAAATCCTTTGAAAGGGAGCTAGGCTCATTTGATAGCGGGGAGAGGGAAGGGAGATAATAGAGGATTTGCGCTAATAATGAATATAATTTCTCCAAGATTGCATGTATAGCTTCATGTGACATGCAATTTTGACAGATATTCGTCAAAAGATAATGGCGGTGTCCAATTTCATTAATTAAAATATATATGTCATTTTCTCTGCAGGTTAATTAGAGCATACAAGAACATGGAGAACCCTAGCTGCATTATTATAGACGCATCAAAGAGTAGAGAAGAAGTGTGTGAAAGTGTTATTACAGAATTAAGAAATCGGAAAATTTTGCCGAGTGATTAACTGCATTCTACTGCATAATCACAATGTTCTTGATCATGCATCAAAAATCCTAACGACCCGTTTACACTTGCAATTTTCGCTGTAATTTTAGGTGCAATTTGCTTCTTTTGATGGATGTAAACCTGTGGATGAGTCATGGATGTTCAGATGATGACTGATGGTGTTAAATATATACTCGATTATTCTCGATACATTCACAATTCATCTACTAGTCACATCAATATATTTATAACGGTATAAGCATAATCGTTTTAGTGAAACAGTAAATTTTTTGACATTTTTTATAGATATAGACGGGATGCAAATTGCTCGACAAATTTCATAGGCATATTTATCAACGTCGATTAACCGAGTTCAATAATTATTTTATAATTCTCTTAAAAGCTTCGTTTTTTTGTGTTTTTCGCGTTTTTACTTCAAGTAAGCAAGACAACTCATCTTCCGAAAGTTCAGCAAAGCGAGTCGCCATTGTTTAAAAAAATTGAAAGCAATGCGCATGCTCAGAGTATTATTTGTAGCTAAACAACGTTTTTGACAAATGCGCATGCTCAGACTATTGTTTGCACGCAGTTTTTAGCGGGTAAATGAACCAATTATGTAATATAAACTGCGAATTCTACTCCGGCAATGATGCAGACATTGAGACTTATCCTCGCAAGATGAAAAATATCAAACACGATAGATATTTTCCTCAAGGTTTTGAGCGGAGGTCAAATCCTCACGAAAACTATCCGCACTGCACACGAGAGAAACATGCTGAGCTAGCGGCCAGGCGAAGCATGCCACTCCGCCAGAAACCTCGGACAGATCATTATAAAGCCATGCTGTTTTTAATTGAACTTTCTAATGTGCATGCTTTTGTTATAATTTGTAAACGTATTATGTTTGGGCTCATCGTAATTGGCTCCTCGGAGGACACGCGCTATGGTGCTGTGATGACAACCCGATCATGTCCTTTTCTCGTTCATTTGTATATGTATATTGTATTTGGCGAATTTGTTTTAATAAATGAATAAATAAATAAATAAAAAAGGCACGGACGATCGCACTGATTGCTTGATATTTCGACAAACAAAACGCAAATTCAAAACTGATTATTTCAATCAAATTTCAAACGTAAATATCTCAACACTTTTCATTTTATTAATATTTAGCTTTCACCATATAAAAGATCTCGGATTTAAGAATACATTTATGTAAAAGTACAAAAAAAGATGTTTTTGCATGACCGTCCGAACGTGTAACCAAAGAAAAACTGCATGACCTGACGTTGTGCTCAGTTAAATATCGTGCGCAAATAATCAATCAATAAACTGTGTTAACAATTGTCATCGTGGTTTGTTAGAATAATTATTAGGTAGCTTAGAATCCATTTGTAAATCACCCGGGTGAAATGGCATTCTGAAAAAGGGTATTATTTTCATAGTAATATTTAATGTTTGCGGTCAAAGTGGATAGTCAATCACTCTCGACAGTCACGAATAAAATGTGTTTTTCGTAACTTTCCTTCGAAGTATCTTGTATTTTTATTCAGACGATATCTAAACACCATTCCATCGACAAAGAAAAACGTTTTGCCGTACTTCCAAGTGATTACATCGTCTACAGGAAACGGGATGTCGCTCCATATGCTCGTCGAAATTCGCGGGTACCCCGACGTTTCCACCATCCGCTTCTCTTCGTTATAACGCCAGTATATGTTATCTGTGAAAATGTATGTCTGACCAGTAGGTTTCCAAACCATCACAGCGCCAACGTATCTTAGCAATGAGCTTTGATGGTTGGTGATATACCTAGATAAGTCAATTGGACCTTCAATTCTCCTGTTCTCTCGGTATCGCCAAAATCTAAGAGAAAAAGTCAAAAAGACATATATTTCTACGAATGAAAAACTTTATACCATAAACATTTTTATACCATCCTGACATATATGACTGTTAGTACTGCATGGCACAGGTATTCTCAATTGGATGCACGACATCTGCCCAACGAGAATTGGAATAGCACATAAAATACGATTTGTGAATGCACTTTCTTTTTAAGAACATTCGTTATATTTATAATATTTCAGAAGTCAGCTAAAGACCATGTTACACCATGTTACACGAAGTAACCTGCAACCAGTGAACTCTACACGGCGCGTAAAAATTGAGAAAATCGACAACTTGTTCCAGGTTGATATCAACAGGCGTGAACAAGGTTGTGCGGCCCACTATGAACAGTATTGTCAACATGTTGTTACAGCATTGTTCAACTGTAACAACTTGGAACAACATGGTTGACAATTTGTTCATAGTTGGCCGCACAACATTGTTCACGCCTGTCGACATCAACTTGGAACAACCTGTGCGTTTTTAGCTGTGTATCAAGAACGTCAATTATTTATTCATTCGGCCTATGAGAAAAGCAAAGCCAAGATGACGGAAATTGACGTCCCGAATAGCTATGATCGAGGTCGTAAATAGATTTAATATCATAAAGAAGTTTTCAGTTCATAAAACCATGGTGTTATTCTTTAAATCGATGTCAAACTACGAAATGTCGGCACACGCACTATTTTCCAGCTTCATGTTAACCGCGCAGACAAAAATAATAGAAAAGGAACTGGAACTGACCGCCCAATAGCTCTTCGATTTCCGCCATCCTAGCTTCACCTTTCGAAACTCGAGTTCTCGCTCCAGTAATATATATAATAACTTGTTTTGAAGATTTTGGTTCTCATGCTTAGTTCTCGAGATATTTCATTTTGTTTGTAACCATGTGACGTCATCTACTCAATTACCTATATAATGAGATATCAGTAATTGTTGTGTATCTTTGCTATTTTTATCAAAATATTTCGAAAGATGCGTCGCGTTTGTTAATTTAACCTCCATCATTAAGCATACTGTGTTTTTTAATAAATTGATCAAAAATAGCAAAGATACACCGCAACAATTACTGATATCTCATTATATATGTAATTGAGTAGATGACGTCACATGGTTACAAACAAACGAAATATCTCAAGAACTAAGTATGAGAACAAATCTTCAAAACAACATATTATACAGTTTTGCGAGTATTTTCGTTTAAGCTTTGGTTTAAGAGAATAAAAATTTTGATCATACTCCCCTTTAAGCGCAAAACGCACAATGAGTGTGTGTATTATTATGAAATGGTTTATGCATGGATGTCAGCACTATATGCTATATGTAGTTGTTATGTTTTGCTATAAATCAAGTATATGTCTAGCATTTATGCTAATCGTCAAGTGAATTTACAACCTCGTAACCCAGGGTCTTTCCTCTTGGCGAGGGGAGAAAAGACCCTGGTAGACACTGGTCACGTGATCTGCTAAAATCTAGCAGATTTTTTAATTAGCAATCCAAGATGATTAAATAATTAGCATTTTGTATGATTGTCGTAAAGGAATCCAAGATAGTTAATTGGAAAACTGCTAGATTTTAGCAGATCACGTGACCAGCGTCTACAATGGTAAATTCTCCCCTCACCAAGAGAAAAAACCCTGGGTACGAGGTTGGTGAATTTAATTCCCAAAGGAGTAAAATAAACATGCTCACAAACAACATTCTTTAACGTTAAAAAGTTTAAAAATCACATGAATTCTGCCGGGTTAGACGGGCAAATAAAGTAGAAAAAAGAAGAAATTACGGGCATTCGTAAATTATGAATCGCTTTTTACGCAAAACTAAAACGTCTTGTGGAACGTAACAACTGTAATTACGGAGTGTCTGAAGACGGAACTATGAATTACACTGATTGTATAGGCAAATTCGTCGTGCTTTATGCGCTTAGAAATCCAGGATTTTGTCTTTGAAAGTTTTATAGAAATCCAGGGTTTTGACTTTGAAAGTTTTATAATTCAATTAAGGTTGAATTAGCTGTGTGAGCTCCTCATACAGCTAATTCAACCTTAATTGAATTAGCTGTATATGGAACGCAGTTTTACACATAGATAGATGCATGTTATGTCAAAGGAAATTTCGAGTGTAAATCTTATAAATTTATTAGACCTAACCAGGAGCAATTGCGAAAAATGTTACTCTCAATCAGGGGCGAAACTTGAGGGGGTATGGGGGGGGGGTGATACCCCCAAATACGAATCATGTGGATTGGCAGGGCGAATCATCTGGATTGGCAGGGCAATCACAGATTTTAAATGATAGAATGTAGAGTTATGAAGTAACTTACAGGGCTTTCAGAGGGAATTGAATAGAATTTATAGATCTAAATTTTACAGATATTGGTCCAAAAATAAGGGTTTCACCCATGTTTTAACAGGAATTTGTATGGAAAAAATTTTTTGACCCTCAATTTAACTGGTTTATGTTGGGAAACATTTTTTGACCCTTTTTTTAATGTCCGGACATTTTTGGGAAAAATAGTGGCCATAAATAAAAATTTGCTGCAGGGCATCATCTGTTTTGGCAGGGCAATTCTGGCAGACACCCTCCGAATTAAAAGGGGCTAGTTTCGCCCCTGCTCTCAATGTTACTGCGAATACGTGAATTTTTACATAACATGATTGTGCATGTGTCATGTAGAAGTTGGGTTGCAAGTTGCAGCAAAAATTGCCACGTGTAACAACGCTTTGAGACTACTTTGGCTGCTGCGCTCAGAAAGTAAAATCACAAAAATGCTCACATCTTTCAGGTGTTTCGTATCTCTGAGGATGGTTCTGAAAGAATAGAATCTTTCAGGTGGATCGATGATATATATAATAAGTCAGATACTTTAAAGCACATGCACTAGCTAAGTCATAGTGAATGTTTAACTGAGATGTTAACCCTAACTGCTTAATATCTACTGACTGGCCATGGGATGGGGGTGGTAGATAGTACCATCCAAATTAGCCAATCCCATGCATGAGAATGAAAAGGAAAGCTGCGTTGAGATATCAGCCTCGTTTTAACAGTATTTGATCATTCATATATATATATTAGCATTAGATTTGGAAATGCATAAAGGTCTGAAGTACATGCATATGCATGCAATAAAATGATTAAGTCAGAACTAACCAGCCGACCACATCCACAAACCGGGCTAGAATGTTTGGCGCATCCGCAATTTAGCATTTTTTCAAGATCTGCAAATCTCAAAATATAGCGTATCGAGGCGAGTTTCGAAATCCATAGGTTTACCCAAATCCGACAGTTTGGGAAATCTGGCTTCAAACTGATAAGCCAATCCCATTAAGTAGCCTCCTGCATGTTACCGCGGTTTGATCTATAATTGAGACTTGCATGCAAACACCGATTTTATCAAACTTTCATATTATTAACTATTATGCGACACAATTAATCTCTTGTTTTTAACTGACTACTATACGCAACCTATTTTAATGTATTATATATATATATGTATACCACCCATTACATTTTTGTGGCCAACAAACTTATAACTGTTAGACAGCCATACAATCAGGTTTTCAAACCTATTGAAAACTATTGTAGTTGCTATATATTGCACCCAATATTTCCTATAACTATTAAAGACTGTTGGAGAACTATTCTATCTATGGAGGAGCTGGTTTATAAAGACTTTCACTGCTTTTACTTGTGTGTTTTTGAACGCATCTTTTTTGGAAAACGAAATTTTAATTAAAGGAAATAGTATTTCTTTCAGCGTCCAACAAGACATATCTGTATTGTCATGCAGTATTGAATAAAATTATATCACTAAAATTTTGAAATAAACATGACAGATATAGTAAAAAGCGAGCTGTTTTTAACCGAGAGTCTAGTACCTTCAGTTAATCGATCGATTATCTTTGAATAACCAGCTCCACTAGTCGAAAGCCTATAACTACCGTACTTCCTCTATTTAGCCCCCTCCATGGGTTTTATTTTCTCAAGTAGTATGTATACGTAATTCAAAACAATTCAAAATATTTTACCGAAACAATATCGCTTTTTACTTAGCAAAAACCCTTATTATCTACATGTAATTTTAGTCATCATTAATCTTGTATGTAGGCGGAACTGTCATTTTTGTCATTTTGTATCTATATGTAATTGTAAACCGTTGTAATTGTCATGACACTCTCATCGTAATCTACCCGTTGAAGACTGCAGGCAGTCGAAAGCTCGTACTAACTAAATATTTAAAACCAGAGAACGTCTAAAAAACTTATTAATTAAGTGAGTTTAGCCACCTCGTAAATTTCAACAAAAACAGGAAATCAATATAACCCTGTCGACCTTCAAAGTATTGCTTTCTTAAATTTTTACACTGAATGTAATAATAATGTAATTTTTACACTGAAATTTAATGGTGTTCGTATTTCGTCTAGGTCTCGATCTATTGACATTGATTACGATGGGGGTTAAATAAAGGGTGGGCCTATTTCTTTCCAGCACTTTTGTCTGGGGTTTATCAAAAACGGGCGTTAAATAGAGGCTGGGGTTAAGCAGAGGAATTACGGTATATCCAGTCGCACCAAATCTATTTAAAACTATATGTTCCCCATAATTTAACCCACACTTTGCAAGTTTTTAACTTTAATATAAAAGACAAACACATAGGTCTATATAAGTATACCAGCTATAAATTATAAGTCCACTGACGTTTTTGAACAGCAATCTCCTTATCCTCGGCAACTTTTAATGAAGTGATTCCTTTGAACCTTTCCATTGTACCGGCGTGTTGACTTGTTCTGTCGGTATCTGTGAGAATTTCCATTTTTAAAGAAATAGGTTTCGTCATTTTTCCATGTTAGGATACTATCCACTGGAAACGGAATGTTGTGCCAATATGTTGAGGACGTTTTAGGGTATGGAGAATATCCTTTTTTTCTCACAATCTTTCTGTTTTTATTATCATATCGCCAGAAGTTATTTCCAGTAAAGAAATACACCAGATCTACCACACCACCCTTCCAGACCATAACAGCATCAATTTTGGTTAGTCGTAACTTCCTGTGATTCTTAATGTACCTCGATAATGCGGTTGGTCCCGCAACTTTCCTTTTACCACGGTACCGCCAATATCTGATAAAAAAATAATAAACCGCCATTTTGGATGATTTACTGGATGAATTCGAATGCATTGGACTCACTGATCTGAAATAAGACTGGATAACGCATCTATACTATACGAAAGTGAAGCCGGAAGTCACCGGCCGCCACCCGATTCTGGGGTCCCACTTTTGTATGGATTTGTATTACAGACGGTAGTTTTTCGCGTTTTTTGCCTTGGCTACGTTTCCGATCGGCCCAATTTTACAATCACAACGAGAGAAGCATACAAGAAGAGTTTTGAGCAAAAAAATTGGAGTATTATGGCTTTATAACGCCGCGAAACGGGATTTACAACTCTGAAGGAATAAAGACCCTCAGACTTTGTTTATCAACACGAGCTCGTTTTGCTACTTTCATACAAAATATACTCAAAATATACAAGAATTATTGTTACTGGACGAATATTCTCAGGAAATTTGAAGAAATGAAGCAGCTACATTGTGAACGAAAGCGTACAGAGGTTTAGTTTTAAAATACCTCGAGGCTACTTCCATAATTATGTGAATTAAAATAACATTGAATCGTTGTTTATAATTTGGATTAAAAATATTTCATTGTCACTTGTCTTCCTACTTTAAAAAAAAACTTTTCGACAAGTCGCCTAGGAATGCTTTTGACTAAATTGACATTTAAAACTGTTCCTTATTAATTTCGTATAATTATAAAAGTAGCCTCAAGGTATTTTAAAACTAACCTCAGTACGCTTTCGTTCACAATGTAGCTGCTTCGTTTCTTCAAGTTTCCTGAGAATATTCGTCCAGTAAACAATAATTCCTGTATATATATATATATATATATATATATATATATATATATATATATATATATATATATATATATATATATATATATATATATATATATATATATATATATATTAATTAAATTGATTTTGTATGAAAGTAGCAAACGAGCTCGTGTCGATAAACAAAGTCTAACCTCTGTACGCTTTCGTTCACAATGTAGCTGCTTCATTTCTTCAAATTTCGTGAGAATATTCGTCCAGTAACAATAATTCTTGTATATTTTGAGTTGATTTTGTATGAAAGTAGCAAAACAAGCTCGTGCTGATAAACAAAGTCTGAGGCTCTCCACTCCTTCAGAGTTGTAAATCCCGTTTCGCGGCGTCATAAAGCCATAATACTCCAATTTTTTTGCTCAAAACTCTTCTTGTATGCTTCTCTCGTTGTGATTGTAAAATTGGGCCGATCGGAAACGTAGCCAAGGCAAAAAACGCGAAAAACTACCGTCTGTAATACAAATCTATACAAAAGTGGGGCCACAGAATCGGGTGGCGGCCGGTGACTTCCGGCTTCACTTTCGTATACTATAGATGCGTTATCCAGTCTTATTTCAGATCAGTGATTGGACTAACTTATGATGCCAGGCAATTGCTTGTAGTTATGGAAATATTTGATATTTCGGTTAATAAGTTAAAGGCCTATAAAATGAATGGAATTTCCGAAAATGGAGTCTCAGAGAATCTTGTCTTGATTAATAGTATACAAAAAACTCATTTTGAGCCAAAGGCATTTTTACAACGAGTGCTGCATTAACTGCACGGATCAGATTTCTAGGTGTCGATCTGTGTGATATTCTTTGAAGAGATAAAAAAAAAATTAAATGCGATTTTACTAAAATTAACTGATCCATCACGAGATAATATAATGAAGCGCCCTTGGGTGAGGCTCATGACCCAAGAACTTCATAAAGATCATTTTATTAGCCGCCATGAAGAATGTCGAAGCCGTCCAAATATACCGTGGGTGTGGCCACCTATTTCCGTGGACGTAGTAAAAAAGACATGGCGCTTGAAATCAATTGTTGTGTGCTCATAATTCAGCGCCTTTGCGCCAAAAGAGCGAGGAAACGCATGCAATAGATCTATATCAAGTAAACAGCTAGCGGCTAACAACTTTCGAGGTATTAAAGAAATAACTATAACAAAGCTTGCGAGTTGCTGTTTAAAGAAAACATTTTCTTAGGCCTTAATTCCATGGCCGTGTCTATTAAAACGTGGCCGTCTATAAATTCAGAATGATCGTCCATACGACGGTTGGACGGCCGCCTAGCTAAACTGACCGCATCCTGTGTAAAATTTTGCCCTAAACGCACTTTTACATTAAATTACATAAATCATTAAAATTGTCCAAATATCATTTAGCTATACTTGTATAAAATATAGTTATATATATACCTGTTTCCTTTGAAGAAAACAATTTCCCCATCCGATTGCCGTACATACGCTGAGTCTAAGTTTGATTCCAATCCTGGCCATTTCGAGGAGATCAATTCTTCTTTGTTAAGTTTTCTTTTCTCATTGACCTCCCAGACATATCTTCCCTTGAGAAAGTAAGTATTTCGTGTAGCGCTGTGGTAAAAAATGGCATCAAAGTTGCGGACATTACAAACGGATGACTTCGGTTTGGTAGTTGTCGCAACAGTTGAAGTAGGTTTACCTAAAATGAAAGACAAGAAAGTGATATAAGGAGCTGTGGATTTTGTATATTCGCGCTGTTCATCTGTTTATGAATCCACTTTTACCCGAAGAGATACTCGTTCACTTAATTTTGTACAAATTGGGAAATTGTACCTAAAAGTCGCACAATTTTATATTAAAAATCTGACAAATGGTTAAAGCAAGGCGCTTATATATATGGCGGTGCAACAAGCACGCGCGCGCTAATCAACATGTGCATGAAAGTAACGGAAGTATCCTGGGCGGGCACGTTTTTGGCAAAAATGGATGAGAAAAAGTAGATTTTTATATGCCTAGTTCTTGTGACCATTTTTCTCAACTCTTTTAGTGTGAAGAGAAACTAATTTAATAGATATGTACAATATCACTCTGAGTTTGCTTTCATAGCAAAAATTCTGCTGTCAGAGAGAATTTATTATCGATAAGTCGCGTGCTTTTGATTACTTCGATGCTGACAAAATTTCAAATATAGCGGACTCCATTGTCGACTTACTGTCAACGCCTACGAACTCAGGCATGTTGAAGCTCCTGTATTGTGTGGCTTAATTTTTATGACAGTTGAAACAGGATTAATGTCATTATCATACAACTGGTTCCCTTTGTAGCTCAATTTACCGAAAATATATTGCTGAGCACATTATATTGGTTAATACTTTGCCAACATCCTAATTTTTTGGGAGGAGATAGCTGAGAAGTAGTTTTCTTAAATTTCATTTAAATATAACCTTTAATTTTGGAATTGATTGTTCTGCGCGATATTTTTTGCAATCCGGGATACATTGTGGAAGCTAAATGTTTGAAGCGATCTCGTTTGGGCATACGCAGCAGGTTTCTTGTGTACGAGTTTACGTTCGCTCTGGTGCTCGCAGACACGCGATTGAAGTTGAAATATTTTCAACTTTCCAGGCGAACTCGCGCGACCGTTAGCTCACGTAGTTGTTAGAGATCAATCAGATTACTCAGATTTCATTTCTTTGTTTCATTTCTCGCATCCAGAATCTGTTTTTGTACTTTTCTCTTCTAAATATTCGCCTTAAAATAATCAACTTATGAAGTCTTCTCTGATTTAGGACCGCCACATTGCTTTTGTTTTTCCCGCGAATTCTGCCAGTGGAAAATTATTTATTGGAGATCGATTCGATTGAACGGGCGTAACAGTTCTAGCCTTTAGGCATGTTAGTTTGCAAACTAGACACCAAGATTTTAAGAACAAAAGACAGAAGCTAGTTATTGTGAATGTTCTAGCCAACTCTTTAGAAAGTTTAACAGATCAGTGGTTAAAATTTTATCAAAGAATAACCTGCAGTTCGTTGGGTTTTCAAACTGATATGATAATATTCACAAATGTATGAAGAATGCAACTACGTGAAAAATCCAGAAATTGTTTTATCAACATTTTGGACGTCTCGTCTTTAACTGATAAAACTGAAACCATTGAAGTCATTAAAACCCCATCTACAGAAAATTTTCATTACTCCTCTGGAGCTAGTTACATTTTCCAACAAAACTTCATGTGATTTATGTTAGCCTCACCATAAATAGCCTGAATCCCATTAATATCATCCTGCGTCAACCTCGTATCGGCCTTATATCCTGTAAACCATGGCCACATAATAGCGTCTTGCTCGCGAGAATGACGTAATCCCAACGCATGACCAATTTCATGTAGAGCTGTCCAGGTGTAATCTGTGGTGTCTTGTTCCCCGTTTATAGTCCAGATTTCATCGTCGTCAAAATGTATATCACCAGATAAACCTATAGAACGCATGCAATATTAAAACAATGATTGAGTTCGTTCTTTGGACCAAGCCCATTAGTAGAGTTGGTCCTCGTTATCACTTATTGAAAATCTCAACCTTTAAGTTCAATAGCTTTATTCTTGAACGGGCAATCTTTGAACGCATTGATATAACAAGAAAGGTTTTGTTAATTCTGTCAACATTTAATTAAATCTTTGTCTAAAGTAAATGTTAACAGTTTATGCGTGGTGAGGTGGGTCAAAACTTTCTAGTGAAGATTCTAAATATTTGATTAGGCATAAAAAGGCTTTAGCTTATGCTTTTCTCCATTGTCCCACACACTAATAAATACAACCCCAATCTTTAAGGAAAATACACGTCCTTTAAACTGGGCTAACACGTGTGAAACTATAGCGTTAGTTTCCATTGGTCAGATTGGGTTAGAGTTACCGCTTGGTTCACTAAAAAACCAAGAAACGTTAGTCTTGTCGTCGGTATATTATTGCAACAGTTTCATTGATCGCCACAACGCAAAGATAAAATAACATGGAGCAATGCTTTAGTATACACGGATATAATAAACAGTTATTGCATGTATGAGATTTTTGTGATATCCAGACTGATTATCAAGGTTGAGGTAGCTAAGTATGGTAACACTTACGAGGCGTGGCACTTAAATGGTTCCAATCGTATCTAGAGAATCTGCAACAGTTTGTGACAATTGGCAATGTTAGATCATCTTTAATGCCTATTACATGTGGTGTACCCCAAGGTTCTGTCCTTGGCCCACTTCTATTTCTAATCTATATAAATGATTTTTGTAATTCCTCCAGAATTCTTGACTTTTTTCTTTTTGCTGACGATTCAAGCTTATTCTTTGATAATTAATAAAAGCCTACCAATTCTTGAATCTACTATAAATAGTCAACTTGAGCATATAAATAAATGGCTCTGTGTTAACAAATTGTCGCTTAACATCGATAAGACAAACTTTGTTATATTTCACCCTCCACAGAAGAAAATTTCTTCTAGTATCCAATTAACGATTAACAATAAATTATTGAAGCAAACATCTAATTTCAAATATTTGGGTGTAGTGATAGATGCTAACCTAAACTTTAAAGCTCAGGTTTTAGAAATCTCCAAAAAGATAAAGCGCAATATTGGAGCTATCTCAAAAATACGTAATTTTGTGACCTTGGATATTCTTATTAATTTATATTATTCACTTATCTATCCATTTCTTACATACGCTCTAGTTGCTTGGGGTAACACGTACAATACAACAGTGAATCCCTTAGCTATCCTATCGTTTAATAATATTTTCTAACTGTCAGGATCATACTAACCCTCTCTTCATTCAACTTCGTTTTCTCAAGTTTCATGACCTTATTTTTTATCATAATGCACTGTTTATGTATGACTTTCATACAGGTCGACTTCCTTACGTATTTGATGAGTATTTTGCACTAGTAAGCCAGAAACATAATTATAACACCAGACTTGCTTCGAGATCATCATACTCCCTTCCAAAAGTAAGAACCAACTATGGAAAATTTAATATACGTTTTGTTGGCAGTAATGTGTGGAATTCAATTGACGAA